CGCCCCACAGCCAGCGCCAGGGAAGCAGCCTGTGTCTAGGGCACACCCTCCTAGGGGCAGAGGGACTCGGGGCAGCCCTCCCAAAGGCCCTGAGCTCAGAGAGGAGCCCAGCCTGGCCACGTGGGCTGAGCCCTTACCTGGACCCGGGCCCTGACCACGTCCATGGGGTTGGTGAGGGTGGAGGCCGTGGCGGCCGCGAGCGGCCCCGATATCGCTTGCAGGAGGAGGTGGGGACAGTCCTTAGGAGTCAAGCTGGAAAGTTGCTCTGGGAAGGGGAAGGAGAGAGGAAAGGTTCAGCCACGTGGCTGCTTAATGGCTCCTTAACAGCACCCACAGAGTGAGAGGATTCCCAGCGGGCAGAGTCCCTGGTTTACAGCCCCTCCGCCCGCGCCGTGGCCACGTCCTGCTTCCTACCCCAGCCAGCAGGCTCAGGAGGCCCAGGGAGTAAGTTCCTGCACACCCTGCAGCCAGCACCTCATCCCACAGCCTCAGAGCAGCTCAGGCACAGGGGCTCTCAGAGCTGCTGGGCAAACGGGGCACAGTGAGCTCCCAAACAGAGCACAGGAATGTTCCCCCACGCCTCTTTAAAAGGCAGCAGTGGGGTGAAGCTCCAGACAAGGCTCTAGAAGTTCTCTGCACAGGGTCCCAGGGACAGTGAGCTGGTGTTGTGCTGCAGGACCTGCAAGGAGAAAAGTCATCCCAGGGATTTCCTCACAACCCTCCCACCACCTGGCAAAGGGGATCTGAATCTCCCACACTTCTGCTGGCTAAAGCTGAAGGGAAGATGTTCTACAAGTCCAGGTGTCCTCTGGATGACGTGGTGGTTGTGTCTGTCTGGCAAGAGGGAAGGAAACTGCTGCGTGTGCAACCCAGAGCTGATCTGAACCACAGCCAGGAGCTCTGGCCCCGGGATCAGTGACCCTGCTGCTGCCAGGCGAGAGCAGCATGCTGCCCAGGGACACAGGGCAAAGGGGCAGCAGGGCAGGGGGGGGATCCTGCCCCTCTGCCAGCTCTGTGAGACCCCCCTGCAGTGCTGGGGCAGCTCTGGAGTCCTCAGCACAGCAGAGCCAGGGAGCTGCTGGAGCGGGGCCAGAGGAGCCCCAGCAATGCCCCGAGGGGGGAACCCCTCTGCTGGGAGCCCAGCAGGAGAGAGTTGGGCTGGGGCAGCCCCAGAGGAGAAGGCTCCAGCTGGGGAGACCTGCTGGGGGCCTTTTCATACCTAGAAGAAAGGTGGGAATGGACTTTTGAGCAGGGGATGTTGCACCAGGACAAGTGGGGATGGGTTTAAACTGAAAGAGGGAGATTTAGATTAGAGAGAAGGGAGAAGTGTTGGATGTTGATGGTGCTGAGCCCCTGGTCCAGGTTGCCCCGAGAGGTGGTCGCTGCCCCCTCCCTGGCA